AAAGGGGAAAGACCTGACCTGTACAAGTGAGAATTCACCCGATCACGTCCCCTTCGTCTTACGCACGCTCGACATTGAGATTCTACACAGGGCACGTCGGGGTGATTTTTTCTGTTATTTTTCTGTATATTTTTCTGGTATTTCTACTACTTACCTCTTACCACCTGTCATTAGAATGTGAGTCGCACAGCTCACTTCTGATTAGATGTTTAAACCGCAGCCAAGATTTTAAAAACTTTATTTGGCTTACGTTCTCAAGGCTCAGACGAAGGCGTAAGCCAAATAAAGTTGATATCTTGGCTATAGTTTAAACATCTAATCAGAAGGACGTCCCATGATGCCAAGATTCATCGAAAGTCGATCATGGATGCACAGCTCACTATTTTTGAACGGGAGTGTAACCCTCACAACACTGACCTTTCAAAAGGCTGCAGGGCACCGCCCCAGCGATAACATCTTGAAACTCTCAAAAATCTCTTGCAGTGATAGTCGGCGAACGGTGATCGCCCATGGAGGCTGGTTGGCCTGATACGTAACTTTTCCACCAATTTTTCCATGTGTGATTAATTCACATTCCCTACTTCACTGAACAGTCCCGGTTATATAGTAACCAACGATTCATATGAGGTACCTGTTTGCGAGTGATTCTTCCAATGCACTCTCTCTCTCCTCTTTTCTAATTACCCGTCCTACACCTCATACATTGTGCCGGTTGGCCCCTCAAAAAAGAGCACCAGAGCCAGAGTGGGATGAAACTCGATGTTGCGCTTGATTCTACAGCTACTTCGTGCTGTTCTCTCCCTTGTTGTGTGTGCAGCTGCACGGGTCTCGCCTGCAGCTGCCTGGTCTCTTGCTCGGTGAGTGTCTCTGCGTCCTCCACTCACTTCATGTAAGCTGAGATATCAAGTGGGCTTCAGTTGAGGTATACTCAGTGGTCTCCTCCTTTCTCAACTAACAAGTCAATAATTTGCAACCGCAGAAAATGCCTTCAACAGGACGAAGCTCTCTGAAAGAATGACACGAAGGCTCAGGCGCTCCCTCTGTCCTCCTTTCACAACTTGTGTTTCTGTGGACTAATCTACACCGTTTTCGGTCATTGAGGATGACTGCAGTTTTGACCGAAGGAAAATTGAAGCACATTATAAAAGAGCCCTTGCATACAGATTCTTACCATCTGATGGATTTCGTTGATAGAGTCGTTTAGAGCAGTGAGATCCACTGGAGTCATTTTTTGTTGTCCTAGCGAGCGAATCTAAAACAACTGTACATATTATATGATTTTGTATTCAGCGGTGTAAACTACATCAAGAGACCAATAAGATTGCAATACCTAAGGTATTTCTCATGAAATCTGTTCAATTAATTGACCAGGTGGATTCACAGGAATTTTCTACATTCGCTTTTTTCAACTTTCAATTATAAATGCACAGCGAACCGAATACGATCTGTGTCTTGAACATCGTACCAGGCCAGCAAAAAGTTGAATCAATGTCCTTTCAATCCTCCCAGCAACAGTGGTAAAGTCTAGTTCGCTGCAGACGAAGGGGCGTGTCAGGCGGATGAGTTTAGCACGGAGCCGAACCCGTTCCCCACCAGTTGTTGAAGCGAACAAGCGACAACGCTGTATCAATCGTTCGTATCACTCGTTTTCTACCAACTGTTGTCGCGGGTCCACTTCAACGCTACATCTAAAGCGAATTACACAGAGTATATCCACAACTCCACAACGAAAGCATAAAGCAGCGCCTTTAATCATTGTGCTGCCAACCGCTCAAATTGCATATGCTCGGGGGGTGGGGGTACTTTTCCGCTGGGAGGGGGTCGTACTTGGTCGTTGCTGGGAGAGGGGAGGGGGCGTATGTGACTTTAGGAGAAATTTGCCGCAT